CTCTCTCTCCCACACTTAAAGTATTTATACACATTGGTGAGATCCCCTCTCAGTCTTCTTTTCTCCAGGCTGAACAGACTCAATCTCTCAGCCTTTCTTCATAGGGAAAGTGCTCCACGCACCATATCAGCTTTGTGACCCTCTGCTGGACTAAAATAACAGTATTTACATAGAGTGGCAGATACTCGTCTTGTGATAGATACTTAACTAGCTGTGATTTTCCAGTGTATTAGCATCTGGTATACTTTCCACTTTTCTAGCAGTATCTGATTATATTGAAATTATTCATTTTCCCTCTCTCTCTTTTATTTATTTATTTTTAATGTAAAAATGTAAAGAGGCTTCTGGATTCTTTATTTGATTTTTTTTTTTTAATATGATACTATGTTGTATTTTTTGAGAGAGTAATTCACATTCTGTTAAAATATATTTGTATATACCCTAAAATTCAAGTGTGAAAATGAAAAAAGTAAGTAAAAATCAATATGGAAGATCAGAAGGTTTGTTAATTCCATTTGTGTCTTCTGATTTTTTCCTGTTTTCATATTCTACTGTAATAACAAACCATATACATGTATTATATATGAACTGTGGGCTTTTTTCACTTTCCAGTACTGAATTCTGCTTGCAGCCTTGTGGTGGTTTTACTCAGGGGAGCAGCTGAGTTTCACCATGACCACTCTTTCATTTCCCCTCCTCAAGGAGGAAGGGGGAAAAAATACAACACAAAGATCTCAAGGTCTGAGATAAAAACGATTTAATTAAAGGGAAAAGAGAGAGAGGAAAGAAAAAAAAATAAAAAAGGAAAATTAAAAATAAAAAAGGGAAGGGAAGGGAAGGGAAGGGAAGGAAGGGAAGGGAAGGGAAGGGAAGGGAAGGGAAGGAAGGGAAGGGAAGGGAAGGGAAGGGAAGGGAAGGGAAGGAAGGGAAGGGAAGGGAAGGGAAGGGCAAGGGAAAGGGAAGGGAAGGGAAGGGAAGGGAAGGAAGGGAAGGGAAGGGAAGGGAAGGGAAGGGAAGGGAAGGGAAGGGAAGGGAAGGGAAGGGAAGGGAAGGGAAGGGAAGGGAAGGGAAGGGAAGGGAAGGGAAGGGAGGGAAGGGAAGGGAAGGGAAGGGAAGGAAGGGAAGGGAAGGGAAGGAAGGGAAGGGGTATTTTGCAGAGAATGGGAGAAAATTAATGAAAGCACTCAACTATTCCAAATTAATATTTTTTAAATAGTAGTTGCCATGAGAGAGGAGGAGAGTATTGAAATATGGGGTGAAGAGAGAAAGACTTGAATGTTAAAGAGAATATGTTACATCATTTTTACTGGAAGAACTTCATATGAAGTAAACATCCAAAGGGCAAATTCTGACAACCTCTTCAGTAGCAGAGGTCTCGAAGAAGAGTTGAATGAGTGTTTTGAGATTATTCTGACAAGTGGAACAAAAAATTCTGACAGAGCTAAGAGAAAATTCTTCATTTATATTAATTACATTTTATGTCCTATGTACAATAAATTTGTACCCACTGTTTCAACATAAGATATTTTATTTATGCAAAGACAGCATATTTAATTTACTTTTCTTTAAAAAGTAAATCGTTTCCACATCTTTCAGTAGAAATATTTTTGTACATACATTTGTAGTATTGATTTTTATGTTTTTAGAAATGTGTATCCTAAACTGGAGCTCAGTGACAATTTTTTGCCCAGTATGTGTGACACTGAACAGTTACTGAAGAAGCTGAACCATGTTCAGTTTATGTCTTTTTTACCATCCAACTTACTGATGAAATAAAAAGCTAGAGTAATAAAGAATGTGTGAGGTTTTTGTTTATTTGTAGCTTGGTTTGTGTTTGTTTGCTCGTTTATTTTATCCTTAAATTAGAACTACTTTTACTGCACATTTTGCTAAAGCATCTGGAAGCATGTGGTGAGGATGGTAACTGCAATGAAATTAGCCACCATATTAACATATCTCGAATATGTTTTTTATAATATTTTTATATACATAATAATTTATTTTGAATTTATTTTTTATAAAGTTATATAAATATTTAAATATATTATATAAATATTCAGGCTTGTTGACTCTTCCTTTTTATAAACAGACCAAAAAAAAAATAAAATTGGATGGCTGTAAAGCTTTTGATACTGTTTCTCATAGTATCCTTCTAGACAAAGTGTCAAGCATACAGCTAGATAGAAACATAATGTGATGAGTAAACAATTGGCTAACGGATCAGGTTTAATGTGTTCTCTTCAATGTTTTTATAAATTACTTGGACGTAGGACTAGAAGGTGTTTTGAGTAAGTTTGCATATGATAGTAAATTGGGAAGAGATGTTGACTCTGACGAGGGTAGAGAGGCTTTGCAGAGAAATATTGACAAATTAGAGAGCTGGGCAAACACCAGCAATTTGAAATTTAACAACTGTCAGTTTCCGCACCTGGCAAGGGCTACCCTGGCTATAAGTACAGATGGGTGACAAGAGGCTGGAGAGCAGACCTGCAGAAAATATGTGGGTTTTGGTCAACAGCATGGTAATTATGAGTCAGCTGTGTGCTGTCAGCCAGGAGTGCCAACAGTACCCTCTAGAGGATCTAGAGGTCAAGACATATGAGCAGTGGCTGAGGTCACTTGGATTGTTCAGCCTAGGGAAGAGGAAACTGAGAGGAGGCCTCATGGTGGCATGCAGCTTCTTCACGAGGGAACTGGAGGGGAAGGCACTAATCTCTGCTATATGGTGACCAACAGTAGGACCTGAAGGAACAACATAGAGCTGCTATAGGGGAAGTTCAGAATGGATATTAAATGGATAAAGGTTCTTCACTGAGAGGGTTGTTGGGCACTTGAAAAGTATCCTTACAAAAGTAGTCACAGCACCAAGCCTGCCCAAGTTCAAGAAGTGTTTGGAGAGTGCTGTTAGACATATTGTCTGATTTTTGGTTGGTCCTCTGTGGAACCAGGAGTTGAATGCAATGATCCTTGTGGGTCCCTTCCAGCTTGGGATATTCTATAATTCTATGATTCTATATTGAATAAAAATAAAAGATAAAGATTATAAAGACAAAGAAAGATAAAGATAAGATAAAGATGAATAAAAATAGTATAAGAAAACTGGTGACATATATCATAATCTAAATATCAGGTTCTGAATATCAGGAATATTGTTCACTTAGATGAATACAGTAAATACAGTAAAAATACAAAAGTAATACAGACACATAAAATCAGATTGTCTTCAGGATCCATGAACCTGAGATACCAGAGCCAGATTAAACTGAGCAAACACTGAAGGTATTTTGCTGAGCTTGGTCTGGCATGGCAGCTCGCAGCAAAAATGAGACTGCAAGGAACAAAACAGAAAAACAACAAAACAAAAATGTGTTGATGAACACAGCATCTCCTCCTGGACCCTGGGGCATTTGCTGCAAAGAGAACAGATGCTTGGATTTGCTCCTCTTGATTACCTGCATTCCATTTTTCTGTTTGGTGCCACAGTTCCATAAAATAAATGAAAATTGGTGTTAGCCATATCTCTTCTGTTCATTCTTCTTCTTTGGCCGGCAATGTAGGCAGAATATGGGAAAAGGCAGCATGTTGTATGTAGGATGTGCATATAACTGTTTCCCAGCTATGGGCAAGGTTCCAGCCTGAGGTCCAGCAGAACACAACCTCACCCCCACTCCTGTACAATGGGAGAGTGAAAACAGTCAGGATTGGCAGAAAGATGTGCCTGTTCTGTGTTGGACCTAACTCTGCAAGTACTTTAGGCCTTCTGTAAGAATGAAAGTTTTTCTTTTCCACTTCTCAGAACAGACTTTTCATGTTCATTGACCAGGTTTTCATAGCATGGCTTTAATTTTTAGAGTTTAAAATATATTGGTGCTTACTAAGGAAAATAGTAAATGTTTGCTTGTTTCTTTGTAAAATGCGTTAAGAATATAACGCAATAGAATTTCATCATTCAGAGTTCCAGCAACAGCATAACAATAAACATTACTTCTCTATACTGAGATTTTTTTAAAGATTGACTGGGAAAAGCCTAAATGTTTGTGTAGATATTTGAGGATAATCTTATGCTGTAGAAAATAAAATCAATCAAAGGTTTCTAGCCAGCACAAGTACTTGCCTTTGCTGTTTTTTTCTTTGTTTGTTTGATGTTTGTTTTTGTTTGTTTGTTTGTTTGTTTTTTCCCTTCTCTCTGTTTATCCAAAAATTATGGTGAATATTTGTGTAGCGGTCATTCAATTAAATGAACAAAATAATATTGATTTTAAAATCTTGAACTGTTCAGAACATGAGTGTATACTGAAGAACTTCTGCCACCATGTCTTTAGCATGATGCATGTATGTATGATGATGCATGTATGCTTTGTCACTGCTAGATCATTTGGAAGAAAATATGCCTGCTTAATAGAAAATGGCTGCACCTTTTAAGAGGATTTCCTCCTGCAGGGCTGCCTCCAAAACTCTTGGAAGGAGTCCCTGTAATATTTTTACTATATTTGCTGAATAATGGAGCGGGGTCTTTATTCTACAAGTGTTTTTTTGTTTGCATTTTCTCAATTTGAAATTGAAAATATTTATTGATTCCATACAAGCACCAAGCACTGTACTAAACATCAAGTGTATGGAAAGTATTTCTTTTTTACAAACTATTACACTCGATACCCAGTTCTGCACACTGAATAAGAATTTATATTTTCAAAGGCATAATTCGAAGTATATATACTTTATATAATATATATATATATTCATTTATTCACATATATTTACTGTTACACAGATTGAAAACAGAAGGCATGTTTTCCTGTAAATTGTAAAGAACTCTTTACTGCTAGGGATTGAATATTCAATACACAGGATATTCTCCTCATTTGGATTCCAAATCAGAAAACAAAAATGAATTTTACTTGTGACATTTTTTCATTTAAATTTTCTAAATTTTGTAATACAAAAATATATTACACATTTAATAAAGTTTCATTTTGTCCTACTTTTTTTTTCCCCCTTAGGTAAGGAATTTGGTGGACAGAGGATAAATCTACAAAGATTCAAAGTAAGATTTCACATGTACTCTATTGTAGTGTTTCTTGTTACAGATACTTATTTTTTCTGAAGAAATATGACTTATTTTGGGTTGGCTTTCATTTACATAAACTACAAACTTCCTCATATTTGATCATATTTAGTATATCTTGAAAGTGTATCCTTGTTGAAATTCAGAGACGTTGATCTAGTTGGGAAGCAGAACATTTGGATTAGTAGGCTTTTTAATAAAATCTTGTACATATGCCCTGAGGGGAAGGAGTGAGATCATAGTTTAGATTTTGCAGCCTTGGCATAAAATAGTCTTATTCTCACAATGTAACTGTTAAGATGTGGTATATATTACACAGAAATGTAGGGAATAAGCTGTGTGAGTAACAGCAACACCAAAGGGTACTGAGCACTTCTAGTTGCTCTGTTTTGCATGATACCTCACATTAGCTTTTGTACAATGAATAATAGTCACCTGTAAAGGAAAAGTAAGACTGGAAAGCAGTTATTAATTCATATAAGAAAGTGTTCTACAAGCTACAGCTGTATGAGAAAACACATCAAACCTTTTTCAATCTGTGTTGCATAAGGTAAATTGACCATCAGGCACATGTGATATGGCTCTTTTTGATGAGTAAGGCAGTGTATCGATTAACCTGGCTAGGAAACAAATCAGTCCTTAATGAGAAAATATATGGTTAGTAAAGCATCACAGAAAATTTTATGTGTCTACAGACAGTTTGGCAACTTATATAAGGTTCTATACAAACTATAATCTATAATATGTGTATGATGATGCAGAGAACATTTGAGGTTGCTAATCATATTATAAAACAACTACATTGTTTCTGTATTTAAAGGTAGTCCTCAGGTTTCACACATGTTTAACACATTGTTATCAGAGCTGAAGAAAGAGAGAGGAAAAAGTAATATCACATAGGTTTCTGGACATATTAAGCTATTTAAAGAGGCTTAACTGCTGCATTCATTTTTGAGAATGATAGAAGAATCATAAGATTATTGATGGAATGGACAATAAATTGCCAGATGAATTGTAGCATGCAATAAATGTGAAGCGATGCTCCCTGAGAAAAACAGTCCTAATATCACAAGAACTTACAATTTTGATGTTGATAATTACCATTCAAATTTAGATTTGAGATTTACCTCAAAAGTGAATACCACAGCAATTGCTAAGATGAGGAGCAGGATGAAAAGGATGATCAAAACAATAAGACATTTCTGGTAAGGTAAATGACTACATACTTAACATTCTTCAATCTAGAAAAGAGATGAACTGAGGAAAGCCCAGACCGAGGTCTATAAAATCATGTTTGACTTGAAGAAAATCAGAAAGGAGCCATCATTCATTTTTTCTTCCAGTACAAAAACTCAAGTCCAAAAACTGAAATCAGATGCGCAAGGTTTGAAATAAATACAGCTTATAGGGAAGCTGTGAAACTGCTTGCAAAAAGTTAATGGAGAATTCGTAGTCACAAGGGAAAGCCAGAAAAAAATGAGGAAGGAAAAAAAAATAAAAATCCATAGATCAGGAAATATATTGATACTGCCTCTGGCTTGAGAAAGTCCCTAATGAGCAATTGTGTAGATCCATGTCCAGAGGTAGTATCACTGAATATTTGTGCTGTTCTTACATTTGCCAAAATTTCAATTTTTAGCCCCTTCCAAAAGGGGATCTTTTATTACAATGGTCTGTGGTCTTTCTTGCCCTTATGATAAAACTTATAGAATATGCTATTTATTTGAAAGTAATGCACAGAAATACAGCTAGTGAGTTAAATAACTTACCATATCCATACTTAATACATGTCTTTCTAGCTTCTTTGTTTTTATGTAACTTTATATTAAGTCACTGTACCACTTAGGCCGAGATAGAGTCAATTTTCTTTAAACTAGCTCATATTGTGCTGTGTTCTGGACTTGTGGTGAAACATTGTTGGTAACACAATGTTTTAGTTGCTTCTGAGAAGTGCTTGCAGAGTCAAAGTCTTCTCTACTTTCCACTCTCCTCCAGTGAGGAGGCTGGGGCTTCACAAGAAGCTGAGAGGGGTCACAGTCAGGTCAGCTGAGCCCCTTTGACAAAAAGGATATCCTGTACCGTATGACAACATGCTCAGAAATAAAAAACTGGGAGGAAAAAAGGAGAAGAGAGGAACATTTAGAATTATGACATTTGTCTTCCCAAGTGATAGCTATACACGATGAAGCACTGCTTTCCTGGAAATAGTTAAACATCTGCCTGCCAAATGAGAAGTTGTAAATGAATTTTTTGTTTTCATTTAGCTTGCACGCACAGCTTTTGTTTTACCTAGTAAACTGTCTTTATCTCAACCCATGAGTTCTCACACTGTTATCCTTCTGATTCTCTCCCTGAGCCCACTGTGTGGGTAGTGAGTAAGCAGACAAGGGTTAACCCATGACACTGACTCTTACTCTCGTGTTACATCGCAGTTGCAAAAACAGAAACAGCCCAGAGCAAGCTTGCTGCTTAGTATTGAGTTCCAGAATAGAGGCAACTATTCTTATCCATAACAAACTTATTTTATTATTTTTTTCTCTAACATTTTATTTTCTCCTCAGGCACTGCTCACTGAGATGTGTGCACACAATAATAAATAGAGAAACTGTTAGAGATTAGAAGTAAAACTTAACCACACCAAGTAAGAATGGTTGTTGCAATTCTAGGAATTAAATGGAATTTTTGAAGATGAGAGTGATAGAGCAATAGAAATAAGCCACTTAGCTGAGATATCCTTTCGTGATTCAAATTTAGTTTATTATTTAACTTTTGAACAAAGAGACCATTCTTTGCCTTCTCTTTAATAATCATGTTACAACTGGTTTGGTTTTATAGGGAGAATCTTTCTTTCTTTGTTTATTTTTTGTGGAAAGTAATGACTTAAAAGCGCAATATGAAAACACTAGACAAAATAAGAGTCATTAATCTTACAATCGCTCTTCACAACCAAGTAATCTTCTCTCTTGATTTCTATTCTTATTTTCCATATTGGCACTAGCTAGATAAGTTCCTGTTCTTTCTAATTTGAGTTAGTCATCACTGTACTGTTGGGCAGGGTCTGTCTGAGGCCTCTGTTTATATGCAAGTTATGCAAGTAGTGTCAACCTTGATTAATTCAAGGTGTTATTTTAAATTTTCCCCTCCTTCTCTCTCTTCCCCTGCTTCTGTCTTTTTATGTTTCAAGTCGGAAAGAAACAATAGACACAAACACTGGAAGATGGTGTCCAGAGCTAATTGACTAGCATATTTAAAGTGGGTTGTGGTTGCTTAGAAACACTTATAGCCTTTAACAGAAACCTGATTATTAAATAGTCTGCTGCGCAATGTAGGACAACATGTTTTTTACTGGAGAAAGAATCACAGTGAAAGATGGTCTGTGGCATAATATTAAAGAGAACCGTATTTACAAACAACATTGTATTTTGTAAGCCCAATTAAACAGCATTACTGAACAAATTTTAAACAATGCTTATGCCAGTACAGTAAACTAAAATTCAGTGTCCTGATGACTGTGGGCAAACATTCTATTTATTTTCTCAGACCCTCTGTTCCTTCCAGTAGTAGTTATTTCTTCTCTGTGGCTGATCTTGAGAGCATGCAATTTACTTATTATAGGAAAGTGCATATTATGTAAGAAGAAGCTGATTATGGAGATAAAAGGACACTGAGATTTTTAAAGTGCAGCAGCCTTTGATTTTAAGACAGCCTTATGACAAAAGTCTTACAGAGGTAACAATCAAAGTCTAAATTTTGTAGTGGATAGGGCAAGTAATATGTCTTACAAAGGTACTGATATTTTCCATAGAGGTGGTTTATTCAAAGCAGCTAAAATAAACAAGCTGCCTTTATTTGTTGAAATCACATTCTCTAATTATGTATTTTCAAAAAAATATAAGTAACACCTATGTCATATGTTTTCTGGAATCCTTCATGACAGAAAAGTCTCTGCTCATCTCCAGGATTTTTCTCAAGAAAAAATTTAAATCAGATGAACATTGTAGGAAGTCTGGCCTATACATGAATTAGCAAGGACAGTGATTTTAATAGGGACATTTTTACTGGACTAGTTATTCTAACTTATTAATATAATTAATTACCAAAATTTTAATTGTTCCAGAGCAAAAGAATAGCTACTAGTATGCACTGGGGATAGGTGGGCTGGGAGGGTGGTGGTGGGGTAGAAGGAGTGAGGGGAAGACAAATAGCATAAATAATGAATAAATCACAAGCTTCAGTAATACTCAAAACAGGTTTTTCTTCTAGCATTCATAATTATCTGTCATGAGAAGACATTATAAATGATGAAAAGCATTCAATAATGTACAGATCAAGACTAAAGTTCCATGATTATTTCTTGAGTTAAGTTTATGTAGAAATAGCTTTCTAAGCCCTAGGGGCTTTTGATGTAAACTTCCCTCTAGCACCACAAATTGGAACTGAGTGTGTAATGGGAATAGGAAGAATATTTAACCATAAAATGAGTGATAATAACTTCACATAGAACTCCACCATATGCATATAATGCTGTTGCACACAAAATAAATAACTGAAAAAAAATGAAATTGAAAACACCATCCAAATTCCCTACCAATCTAAATCATTACTTGTTGTCATACTATAATCAGAATATTCAGGAACAATTGTATTATTTGAGACTAGTACATAATAAGCATATATTAATAGTAAGAAAATATTAATAGAATAAACAACTAAGTCATGTTGATCTTATTTCTTCTATATTAAATTCTTTTTATTTTATAATTTAATGGAAGGCCATTAAATGAAACTGTTATTGGAAAAGACAGGAACTCTGTTTGGCAAAAATGCAGTTAAAAGCATATTGCATCTCTGGATAGCAATAAAGGAAATGGACATGACTTATTCAACCTCAATGAGTCATACTCCCTTTTTGGTTTGAAAAATCTTTATTTTTGGGAAAAGGTTAAGGGTTGTAGTAAGATAACCTTCTGGGACATAAACCTGTCATGAGATATTTCGCAAAATAAAATCAGACTTAACATTTGTTATTATGTACTTTATTATTTTCACATCAAGAACTCAATTAGCCAAGTTCATAGGTGTTATTTCTTATGTCTTTTAAATAAGTTATTAGGCTCCCTCAATTACAACACTGAGATTATAAACACCTGTCAGTTTGCATAGGAAGAAAACTCTTTGTATATTTTTTATAATTTTATGTAATAGTTTTTTGGAGTTGTAAAATGTCAGGTTTATTTTGTTGTTGATTTCTTTAGAAGGGTGGTATATTTGACGATGACCCAAAAATCTGTGGGATGATAAACAATGACTATGTTCCACTCAAAGAATTTTTTTGTTCTAATTCTACGGGAGAAGAGTAAATCAGTTATTTTCAGTGATTTACAAATTCCAAGAAATTGGATGATTGGATGAAGACAGCCCAAATAAGCTAAAAAAAAAATAAAAAAATAAAAAATAAAAAAATAAAAAGTATTATTCCCAGAAAGCTGGGAAAGTTGGGGCACAGTAACTTTCCCATGTCAATAAAAAAAACTGTGTTTACTTTCTGTGAATGTTTTAATCCTATTCTAACTACCAAAAAAAAAAATAAATAATAATAATAATAATAATAATAATAATAAAATTAAAATATCTATGTGAATTACCTTCATAAATAAAGAATTCTGCTATTTTTTAACTGGATTAAAATACTAAAGTAGATCCAGAGACATATTACATGTGTTAAATGGTGACCATCTGACTATTTACTCCATTTGAGGACTCCATAGGTTCCAGTGGCTCTGAATTAAATTGACGTTACCACGTTACCTTTGTGTTTACAGTACAGCAAAACAGCTGAATCTGTGAATCTAAACATGTTTGGAAATGATTCTATGACAGCTTTAGTAAACCCATTGTTAATGAGGTTTCTCTCTCTTTTCTTTTTTTTCTTTTTTTTTTTTTTTTTTTGATGGATTAAACATGTGAGGACTAAAAACAAATTATCGTCTAGACTCCAGCAATTAATGTTGTGAGTCCTGCTCTCTTGTTGTGGGCGCTGTATATTTTAATAGCATGTTTAAATTTTAAGATTATTGTTTCCATTGGTTGGCTGCTGCTATTGGACTATGCATTTATCCCGCTGTAATCACAGACATTAGTTCAGTTGACTTCTTCACAGCAATCAAACTGATTATTACTAGTCTGCTTAATAATATATTTTAATGCTGATTTTTAGTATTTATTCATGTAGATATCTATTCTTCTTGTAACCATTTTGTTCCAGATTTGTATGAAAAAACATGTTCAATGAAGCAACTGTGATTCAAGAGTAGAGCATCACTAAGGATGTCTTTATAACCATTAAACAGTGTCTTTTTTCATGTAGGAAAGAAGGGTTATCATCCCGATAATGTAAAAACTACCAACAAGAGAGGAAGACTTATTCACTCTTTTTAAGGCCTTGTATTTGTTCTGGATAAAAAAGGCATGGCACCTCTTTAACTGAAGAAGGTAGGAATTGATGTTTGATCACAAATAGAGTGTATTCTTCTGAAGCAGTATAAACATGAAAAGGCTAATGAGTTGCTCATACAGATCAACTCAAGTGTTTTCAGAAGAAGGAGGGGTACATTTATGGCATTAGAAGGCCTTGCAAAGTCTCCAGTTAGAGTGCTACACAATTTTCATTGCAAGATAAATTATGTGATTTCTTTTTTTTTTTCTATTGGGCACTGTCTAATTTGTACTGAAACACTTTCATGTCTAGAATTGACCTAGAATTTCTTCCTTTTATCTAAACTAGATCTACCCCCTACCTTAGTTTAAAGCCACTAATCTATCCTACTTTATCATTACTCAAGTCCTAAATACACTCCCTGATAAAGAGTCCCTCTCCAGCTTTTTGCAGCCCCCTCTAGGTATTGAAAGGTTGCTGTAAGTTTACAGAAGAAGTGCTCCAGCCCCCTGATCATCTTTGTGGCCCTCCTCTGGACTTGTTATAGTACTTCCATGCACTTCTTTTGGTGGGGATCCCAGAGCTGAACACAGAACTCCAGGTAGGGTCTCACAAGAGCAAAGAGTAGCACAGGAGAACCACTGCTGGTCACGCTGCTTTTGATGCAGCCCAGGATACAGCTAGCTCTCTGGGCTGTGAGCACAAATTACCAGCTCATTTCAAGCTTCTCATCAACCAACATGCCCAGGTCCTTCTAATCAGTGGTGCTTTCAATCTAATTGGGATTGACCTGGCCCAGATCCAGGCCCTTGCACTTGGCCTTGTTGAACATCATGAGCTTCACACAGGCCCACCTCTCAAGCATGCCCAGGTTCCTCTGGATGTCATTGCTTCCCTCCTCCAATGTATCGACTGCACCACACAGCTTGGTGTCATCAGCAAACTTGCTGAGGGTGCATTCCATTTTAATGTCCATGTTAACAACAAAGATGTTAAACACTGCTAGTCCCAGTACTGACCCCTGAAGAACATCACATTTTACTGATCTCCATTTGGACATTGAGCCATTGACTGAAACTTTTTGTTTCCAAAAAAACTTTTCAATTTCCAAACTGTTTTGTTTCCAAAAAATCCAGCCAATTCATTACCCATCAAGTGGATCATCTATCAGATCCATGTCTCTCCAATTCAGAAACAATAGCATCACGAGGGACAGTGTCAAATGCTTTACGTAAGTTTAAGTAGGTGATGTCAGCCACTCTTTCCCTATCCACTGATGCTGTAATGCCATCATAGATCGCCACCAGATTTCAAGATAGTATAATTGTCAAGTCTTATCTCTGACTCTCATTATAATTTTACATTTCAGCTAAAGGCTTTCTACTTGCAGGAAAGTGAATGTTCATGGAAAACAAAGGGGTAATTCCCTGTTATGATTAGAAGAAAGAGGGTCACCTATTTGTGAATACAAATATATACATTTCCTGAAAAAAGTCAATATTAGGATTAGGAATGAGAGAGTCTTATAGGTTTAATGTAATTATTATGCACACAGAATTTGGACTACATGAGGACCCCAATGTACAGTGGTGTTACACTATAAATTATTCATGTCTTCCTGTCATATGGAATACTTCCTGTTCTCTCACCCTTTTTACAGATGCTATTTTGTTAGAAAGACTGTCTTGAAGTTTAAAAAAATAATACTGTATTGTTTTAATTATTCATTAAAATACTGATTAAAAGTATGTCTGAGAGCAATGCTTATCTAATTTATAATTATACACATAAGTGATAAACTCAGTGGATTAAGCTTTCAGTGGATTAAGCTTTTTTTTTTTTTTTTTTTTTTTTTTCGTGGGGGCTGGGGGGGGGGGGAGGTGGCAGGCAGGGGGGGATGGAGTAGTTTGAATCCAGCCTGGATCTTAAGTAGGTTTTCTGTAAAAGTCTTTCATAAAAGAAATATTCAATATTTGCAAGTGTTTTTCCTCATATCTCACATTATTTTAAAACAGTTAACAATTAGAAATGTATATAACTGTTAAACAAACTCAGTTCTTAATAAATGTAACTTTGGGAAAAGGCTTCAAGAAAACAATCTCAAAGAATTTCTTTATGTTGAATGACACACCTTTGTCATGGGTTTTTCACCTCTTATGAGCACATTGTTTTAGACAAAAACATATAAGATGATGATAAAAATAGTCCTTTGAACTTAATTATGGTAGCTGAACATTAGATATCTGCCAGTGTCAGTACAAATGAACAGAAGTCTTGAATGTGAGTGTTTCTGGTTATAAAACACACATATTTCTTGAAAGAGGTGAAGTCAATCATCAAATAAATGGACAACTATTTCACAATAAAAATGAAAAAGAAGTAGGAATGTGTTCGTTGTACAGTGAATCACAGTGCCAGAGATGTTTGCACTGAGGCATCCACCAGAAAATACATGGAGCACAGTGCAGAGATGTACAGGTGGACTTGTTTCGCTCTGAGAACAGAATAGCATCTTCACGCAGTGATGCCCCTGAGCTATTAAGCTCTGAAAAGTTCCAGGGCTTGTTAGTTTACAGATAGTGCCTTTCTAGCACAGACATACTGCTTCTAGATGAGAATAGGCTTCTCTGTAGCTTCCATGTTTCATAGTGCTGCTATGAACACGTTAGGATGAGTGAAGTGGTTGCAGGTGTCTTGATTGCTACGGTGCGGGCAGTCATGATCTCACAGGAGAAGACTCCTTGTAATAGTGTTTAACAAATTCTATACTACAGCAGAAATGATATCCCAGCATTGCATTAAAATGATTATTGGCATTTGGTACTGATACCAAATTAAATGAGCACTGAATTTGAAATACACATAAATGATGTATAACTAGTTTTCAAGCTATTATTTTTTTTTCTATGTGCACAACCAGATAAATTGTTCATACAACTAGCTGGAAATTAAGATTTGCATGCAATTCACTTATTTGTATATATGCGGATGACTATTACTGTCTAAAAATAGATATTAAAAATTTATAATTTCACTAACAATTAAAAAAAATCATAATAACGATTTTTATGTGTTTTTATTAATTTTTTTAGTTCAGAAAATATCTGTTTTGTCTCATAACTGAGCTAGAGAGCAATTTCATCTTCTAAAGAAAATCTGTTGTTTTTTTTTCTTTCATATTTAGCAGTAGCTACTCTTAATGTTAATACATATATATTCCAAATTAGAATATGGCAATATACTATTTATACCTGCAAGTATATACCATTTTATTTTCATGATATTTTAATGAAGTTTAATAAATATATAATCAGGTTAAATGTAAAAATAAAAATAAAATAAAAATTAAAAAAATAACTATAAAAATAACAATAAAATAACAATAAAAATAAAAATAAATAAAAATCTCGATAGTTTTATTTCCTAACACAACTGTTGCAAGAAATTCTGTTTCAAATAATATTCTTCAAAGTTATTCTTACTCAAGTAGTGCATTGGGAAATACCTGAAAACAGGAAACAAAGACATGTTCTGTTGGGTTCTTGAAGGTAAACTCTCTTCCTTGAAAACATTTTTATTTCCCAAATAATTATGCAATTAACAGATATCTATATTCAGTACAGTAAATGGAAAGAAGCATAACTTTTTACTTTAGAAATGGAGACTGGTTTTATGGTTAAATGGTTTTTACTTTAAGGAGCAGCTTCTTGTGTTAGATCTCCACTGAGTGGGTGGAGAGAGGAGGAGGAGAAGGAAAAAAAGTATAGTTTTATATGTCCTCCACTGCAATCCTCTATACAGCTGATGGGAACTACCATCTATGTTTTCAGTACTGTTATTTATCTGTAGACCACTCTGGTATCTATTATTCCAATTATCCCTGTGTGGTTCTGAAAGTAATAAGAAGCTTGCAGTCTATGTTCGCTGTCTATCAAATATGTACGTGTATACAGATTGTGAGCTTTTTACTTTTTTTTTTTTTCTTTATACAGGGAATAGTTACAGATGCTTTGGTGGTGGTGGTGGTGGTGGTTCTTCCTAATCTTTTCTGAAAGTCTGGTTCAAAATCAATACTAAGGAAAAAATGTGCTTCGTACTGGATACACACATTTAATTTTAGGTATGAACTTTAGCTCCACTCAGTAGCTGGCCTTTAAAGGGCAAGATAAATACCCATACATGAAAAATGATGCATTTGTATTCTTTTTAAACAAACAGAATTACGTGTTTTTAAACTCAAAGGTCATCTCTCTTGCAGTCTTTCAACTGTTCTACCCATGGTTCTATCAAAAAAAGAGAGTTATATCCCATTATTTATTTTTTTTCTAGATCCAGTAAATTTCTGATCCTTTAACTAGTAGATACATCATTAAGAGCATATGAATTGTGCTGTTTAATTTTCCTGCAATTGCCAATGTAAAAAACTTAGAGAAGAAATGATTATATGTTGACTGAAAATGAAGTTAATGTTCTATAAATGGTTGGAGAAGATATTTTGTTTAAACTTTTTTTTTTTTACCTTGTGGATAACACTTATTTTTTCTCACAAATTGGATTTTATAATCTTTTCAAGACAGAAAAATTAATACAACAAATTCATTAGAATCAGAGCTTATTCCAAGTATGGTCTTCTTGTACTCATTGAGTCATTCCCATGTGTTCTAAAACCTATCACATTTTTCTATATCTTTTTCATATTCCTAGTATATCCATTAAGACTGGAGAATTCTTCACTTAAACAAAACACAAAGAATGTGTCCTAGACTCTGAAAGACTTCCATTGTCTAAATAAAGAGAGGGAATAGAAATGACAATATTAGGTCCCCATAGCATAGCTATTCTGGTCTGAGGTCTTCTGTTCCAGACTTCTATAATGTGTAAACTCCCTGGAGAAAGTTTAGTAAAAAGAACATAAGGTTTTCTAATTGCATTATTCAAAGGAAAACTTCAGTGTTTGGATCACATAATCATTAGGATTAGAAAAGACTTCCAAGATCATCTGGTCCAACCATCCCCCTACCACTGATATCACCCACTAAACCATGTCCCTAAGCGCCACACACAATCTTTCCTTAAACAGCACCAGGGACAGTGGCTCCACCACTTCCCTTGGCAACTTGTTCCAATATCTGACTACTATTTATGAGAAGGAATGTCTCCTAATTTCCAACCTGAAACTTTGTTTTCTTTCTGCTAAGGTTTGGAAAGGAAAATAGGATGTGCAACACAGAATTTAAACACTTTTTTCCAAATCCAGCTTCCTCAAACAGGTGAAAATGGTTAAAATACTTTTTCAGCAGAAGAGTGGTCTAACTTTGGTCCTTTATTTGTATCAGTCAATATGTACACTGTACATAAATAATACTATTGAGTAATACTTTATTATTATTTTTTTTTAGTGGGGAAAGCACAAAACAACTAAAAACAATAACAGCTAAGAAATATTAATATTAATCCTTTATATTAATACTGATGCTTGTAGAAAACATTTCCATCATAGCTTTGTTAATCTCAAATTAACTTTTTAATGAGGGATGAAAGAAAGGGAAGAAATTATCTCTAGTGTGTTTGCTTAGCCTCCTGAATTTGTTGTTTACACATATTACAATATGATAATACAGAGAGATTAATGGTTCTTTTTTTCCTACTGGTAAATATTATTAAAATATATCTGAGGATAAACTCTGTAGGTTTAAGAGTGGAGGAAAAATATATGCTATTTCCTGATGCTAATAACACTGTTGGAACACTTCTTCCACAAGACCCAAATTATTTACCATAGAAAGAAAATAAAAAGAAAGAAAGAAAGAAAGAAAGAAAGAAAGAAAGAAAGAAAGAAAGAAAGAAAGAAAGAAAGAAAGAAAGAAAGAAAGAAAGAAAGAAAGAAAGAAAGAAAGAAAGAAAGAAAGAAAGAAAGAAAGAAAGAAAGAAAGAAAGAAAGAAAGAAAGAAAGAAAGAAAGAAAATAAGCTGTAATAAACTACTAATCAGAGGTACAGAGGTACATTTTCAACAATACTTTGAAGTTTCATCATACATATTCTTCTTTAGTTATTATTGTCATAATAAGCGGATAAAGATTAAAAAAATAAAATAAAATAAAAACAACAAAACCACCACAAACCTAATATAGTGTTCACCATGAAATTATGTCATTTCTTACTATCCATTATTGTTTGTAAGAACAATAGTTCATTTCTTTTTGGAATTTATATCAGTATATACAAATCATATATAGAATATCATCCCTAATTGAATGTTTGTTATTTTCATTACTTGTACTCAATGATTCTGAATTATTTTGTTGTATTGGAAGACAACTAGAGAAACTGAAATAGAGCTCGGAAGTCTGAGCACATTTCTGTCCCAGTGCTGCTCTTTATAGGTATCTGTTTAAAACCTATTTCAGACCCTTGTCCTTCTCAGTCTATATTGTTACAGGTTTACAGGCATTCCCTGAAAGTTTCAGAGACTTGGCACCATGGCACCTTCACGTCAATTGTACTACTATACTGAATACAAGTGATCACACAGTACAAGAGCACCATTAAAATAAACAGTAAGATGAGTTTGAATTAAGAGGAGATGAAATTGAACTTGGGTTAAAAATGCGATGTTTTAGATTGATTATTAAAATCCATTCTCAACAGTGCACATTTTCTGTTCTAAAATTATTTATTGGTGGTGTTTTACTCAACAGCTTGTGGTGGTTTTACTCGGGTGGGTGGCTGAACTCCACCACAACCACTCTCTCACTCCCCGTCCTCAAAGATGAACAGGAACTAAACACGATGAGAAGGGCTCAAGGGTTGATAATAAGGATAAGGAGATGGCATAGGAATTATTGTGACAGGCCAAACAGACTCAGCATAGGGAGATGGTAAGATTTATTACCTATTGCTAACTCCTCCTCCCAAGTGGCACAGGGGAATGGGGGAATGGGGGTTATGGTCAGTCTATAGGACTTCTTCTCCATCACTCCTTGATCACTCTCATCCCCTGTGCTGTGGGGTCTCTCCCACAGGATGCAGTCCTTCCTGAACTGATCCAGCATGGGCTTCCCACAGGTAGCAGCTCTTCAAGAACTACTCCAGATAGTCTGTACCATGGGGTCCATCCCTCAGGAGAAAACTGCTCCGACCTTGGTCCCCCATGGGCAGCAGCTCCTGCCAGGTCACCTGCTCCTGCGTGGTCTCCTCTCCACGGGCTACAGGACTGGCCCAGAATCTGCTCTGGCAGGGGTCATCCACAGGCCGCAGCCTCCATTAGTGCAGGTCCACCTGCTCCACTGTGGTCTCCTCCACGGGCTGCAGCGTGATAACCCTGCTCCACTGTGGTACTCCATGGGCTGCAGGGGGACATCCTGCTTCACCATGATCCTCATCACAGGCTGCAGGTGACTTCTGCTCCAGCGCTTGGAGCACCTCTCTCCCTCCTTCTTCACTGACCTTGGTGCCTGCAAAGCTGTTCCTCACTGCTCTCACTCTCCCAGCTGCTGTGTGGCGCAGTGTGTTTTTTGTTTGTTTGTTTGTTTTCCTGTCTTAAATATGTTCTCACAGAGGTGCAAACAACTTCACTTATTGGCTTGGCTTTGGTCAGCAGTGGGGCCCTTACCTAACATGGGGCAGCTGCTAGATTCTTCTCACCCCTATGGCCCTCTGCTACCAAAACCTTGCCACGTAAACCCACTACACAGCTTCAGCTTGGCATTTTGTTATTAAAAAGAAGGGCAAAGAAGAGAGAGCAGTGCTCACCTCACACAGTAATGTTTGTTTAGTTGAACACAGAGACTTACAAATAAACATACACTATCATAGACTCATAGACTCATAGAATGCTTTGCATTGGAAGGGACCTTAAAGATTATCCTGTTCCAACCACCCTGCAATGAGCAGGGACACATTCCACTAGACCAAGTTGCTCAAAGCCCCATCCAACCTGGCTTTGAACACTTCAAGGACATCTACAGCTTCTCCAGACAACCTATACTTGTGTTTCACCGTTGTCAGAGTGGAGAATTTCTTTCTAATGTCTAATCTAAATCTACCCTCTTTTAAAGCCATTATCCCTTGTCCTATTACTATAATTCCTGATAAAGAGTCCCTCAGTCCCTCTCCAGCTATCTTGTAGGCCTCCTTTAGATACTGGAATGTCACAAAGTCTTTTTTTTTTTTTTTTTTTTTTTTTTAACTGGTTGGAAACAGAAGATCTGAGGTACTAACAGGCCAACTTCTGTTCTTACCCTTGCCATCAGTTGTTCCAAAGAGTGTTTATCAATATGGTGATAGGCATATTGACTTGATATAGGCTATATATAAATATATCTCCAAAGCTGGTCCAGGTCCCTCTGGATGACATCCCTTCCCTCTAGTGTGTTGACTGCAGCACCCAGCTTGGTGTCATCAACTTCCTGAAGGTGCACTCAATCTCACTTTCGATGTCACCAACAAAGATATTAAATGGTTGTTGTCCTAATACCAACACCTGAGGAAAACTACATATTACCGATCTCCACTAGGACCTTGAGCATTCTTTGAGCATGACCATCCATAATTCCTTACTCACCAAGTGATCCATCCATCATAATCATGTTTGTCCAATTCAGAAATAAGGATATAATGTTGTCAAATGTTATGTCAAATGCTTTCCACAGGTCCTGGTAGATAATGTCAGTTACTCTTCCCCTGTTCACCAACACTGTAACCCCCTTGTTGAAAGCTACCAGATTTGTCAGGAATGACCTGCCCTTAGTGTAGCCAAGCTGGCTGTCACCAATCACCTCTTTATTTTCCATGTACTTTAGCATTACGACAAGTTTGCAAATTACCAACAATGTTATTTTTGTTTCTTCTTTTTTTTTAAATTCCTTTGTTGCTGTTGTTGTCGTTTATTTGTTTGTTTTTCAGGAACCTGCAGCCATCTAATATTCATCTGTTAATTGCTTAATCTCCCTAAGAGCTTTCTTGTTGCAGCTTCAATTTGACAAAACGATTGGTGACCCAAGACCTATTTCAAATCTTTTCTATAGGTTTTTACCATGTAATGGGCTTGTGTTTGCCACTGAAGCATCAAACTAGCACTCGTCCTGTTGTTCAAGCAAACAGAATAATTGTCCCATTTTACACTCCAGAAAGCAGAATTTAATTTGAAGCAACATTTCTTCAGTTCTAGATTCTTGTGGATGAAGGAGTTGTGCATGATATACTAATAGCCATAAAATTACCATGGAAGAATTTCTGTGATGCAATGTTAATGAATACTGATGTGAATTCACTTAACATGCTTAATTTAGTCATAAAACTTCTCACTAATGACTAAAGCTGCACAACTATGTCTGTTCACAGCAGATTTTTTTTTTTTTTTAATGAATAAATAACTATACTTTTGTCTCTGAAGACTTTATAGAATACTAGTTTCTGACTCATTTAAATTTTCTGTCTTCAGGGTGTAACTACTTACTATGTGGAAATTAACCTCTAAGGAACAAAAGATGTGCTGGACAAAGATCTCTAATTTTTCAAAACATTAATTTTAAATTAAACTAGTTTTCTTTGTAAGATTGCTATGGGTTTGTCATCAACAAGTTAACATGGAGCTTTCATAGACTTTTGTGTGCATTACAAAAATGTCTTACTTAAGAAATGACTATTTATCAGCTAATAAACTGTAATAAGTCAGATATATCACTAAGTGAATTACAATATAATCAGATTTGCTTTTTGTTTACAAAACAAAAAAAAAAAAGTTTTTTATTCCATCTCACTTTCTCCATATTTTTCAAATATCAAATATATCTTAATTAATGTAACGATGTGTTAAAAGGTACCCTTCCCACCTTTCTTTTTCTCTGCAAATTAAATACTTACAAAATATATTTTCAAATGTATCTCCCCTACCTCTGAGTCCATTTTAAGAGACTACACCAGGACTTAATTTCCAAACTACCACAGAGCCCCAACACATTGATAACATATGTTGTGATTGTGATTGTGGTTCATATACATGGCTCTTGCATGCACATATTAATTGGTGCTCTAGAGGATGAATAAAAGAGTTAATAATGAAATAGCAAACAAGTCATGCAAGTAATGCTCTGATCTATATAATAATGAGTATAGCATTTGGCAGATGGTGCAAATGGCACTAGAAATAAAAATATTTTGGCTTTCTTATTGCTTCTTATGCAGAACAAGACATCAATTCAAAACGAATTCTTTTGTGCTTTAACACAAAAGAATTTTGTGCTTAACTCTTTTGTGTTTATGTGCCTACATACATGACTATAAATGTATGCATGACATGTATGTATGCACATATTTTACATGTGGCATTGTTTCTTCAGTAAACTTATTTACTAGAAAATCCTTTACTTTGCATAATGAAATATGCATCACCCATTTATCCCTTACAAAACTGTGTTACCTTGAATTTTAGCTCAGAATAAATTTCTTATACATAAATATTTTTGTTATTTTATATCATTACTCCTCCACAATCTACCCTTCTGAAATACCTTCCTTCTATGAAATTCTGCTTTGGAAAAAAAAAATAATAATAATAATTTTAGCTTATGGCTTACAAATCATATTTATTATTGTAATCTTTATATGTCTTAAAATAGTAGAAGTGATTCAAGAACTATCTGGCAAAATTCAACACACCAAAACAAAATGGGTGCAATGTTACAATACCAGCTAAACTTACAATGCTACAAATTCTTCTGCATTAAATAATAATAATAATAAACAAAATAACTAATAAAAAAAAAAAAAAAAAAAAAAAAAAAAAAAAAAGCAGGTATTATGTACTTGGTGATAAAATAGATAAATAATAACATTCTGTCCTAATGCAAGATAATCTGGACAATGGGAAGATCAAAGGATCAAAGAGATGGCAATAAAACCTTTTTCCCCTCTAGCACTGCTTGGACTACCAAAACAATAACAGCTTTAAACAAGTGATCTGATTTAATGAAGTAAGGCTGTGGATCTGTTGCAGTTGATAGTGTGCTTAATTATTTGTTAGTGGGAAGTATTGAATCATCTGAAGATACTGCTGTTTCAAATAGAGGATGTTCTGTGATTGTTTGCGTAAATGTTATAATACACACAGAGAGAATATGGACAACAAACAAGCTGTTAAAAATAAAGATAATTTAATACTCCATATCTTAACTAGCAGAAGTGCTGCTATTGGTAACAATTATTTAATATTTTATTAGAAGCATATTTTAATGTGTACATACTGACAAGAACGATATTTTTAAAAAACACAAGATTTCCCTGTTTGTAATATAAAATGATGTTTCTAAATTAAATAAGGTAGTTTATAGACTGAATATTAAAAGTGAAAAGCAAGAACTGAGAAAAGATGTGGTTAAGTGTCAGCTGAGCAATGGGTTTGCATATGTCAGAGACTTCAGCACTTTCACCAAAATATTAAAAGAACAGAAGTGTTTGACTTTGGCCACCAATTATATTCTCAAAATCCCATTTTTTTTCTGTCTTAATTCTACTTAAAACTTTAAGTCCATGGAAAAAGAAATTAACATAAATTAACAGATTGAAAACTCTCCACATACACACACCAATAAATAAATAAATACGTATATACATAAATAAAATGCTAAAGAATAAGCAGAAATTAACTTTGGCAGTTCAGATTTGAACAGACCAAAATCCTGAAATTTGTGCCATTTGTTTAGAGGATGATTTCCTTGCAGTACCACAGATGACTGTCTCACAAGAATCATCTGTTCTTTGTACTTTCTTCTCATTCTCTGTCATTCCCACATGTTTAATTGCCAGGTAGCATATAGACAATCTGAAGTCTTAGTCTTGCTTTAATCTACTTTATTAGAGCAAGCGCTGTGTAGTTAGTAACTTCTCTAATTCTAGCTTGGTCATCTCATTTGCTTTCATCTTCCTCACCACTTACGCATTCACCGGATTGGGCATTCTCTTGCCTCTTTCCCAAAAATGTCTGTAAGCCTAGGATTCTTCATATTCCCCAGAGGATGCAAATTCTGTTTGACTTTTGTTAAAAGATGTGAGAAAAGCATGATCATTGTGGGAAGGCAAAGCTAACT